TTTGACATGTGTTATTTTCATTGTCATTACTTAAAAGATTCTTAACCACTCCAGTGGTTCATCTTTGACCCATGTATTTTTCAGAAGTATATTATCTAATTTAAAAAATTGGGGGGATTTTCTATTTTATATTATTGATTTCTGAATAACTTCTGTTATGTTTTCAGAGGTTTGAAATGTATTTATGGTTCCTTTATGAGGAATTTGAAGGAATGAACATTTTGCAGATTATTTTTAAGTACTAAATATAATGTCCTATAAATGTCAAATCAAATAATTTATTTTAATATGTCCAAGAATGAAATTTATGTGTCTCCTGTAAGCTTTTGCTTCATCTATCTTGAAGCTTTGTTATTGGTTATATAAATTTATTATTCCTACACATTGCTGGTGAATTGATTTCATAAAGTTCTGATATTCACTTCTGCTTGCAGTAACTATTTTGCTATTTGCCATCTGCTCGTCCCATTGTCCCCTCAGTCTATGTTTTCTACTTGTTTTGCATTTATTAAATTGTTTGTAATATTAGGTTTTAATTTAATGATGCTTAGCACCATCTTTTAGGTTTTTATTTCTTTATTATACTAAAGCCTGTGTAAAGTTAATATGCCACTACTCCATAGATTTGTAAGAAATTTACAAGAATACAACTTCATTTCACTCCAATTCTGTTATACCTTGTGTTATTTTTCATATACATAAAAACCAAGATAAACTACATGATATTTTATTTGTTCTCACGTATTAATCATTTCAGTATCCCCCCTTCTTATAGATCTGTGTTTCCACCTGGTATTGTTTGCAAGATAAAGTCATTGGTATCTAGTTCCGCTTTACTGGTGACAAATTCCCTCAGCCGTTTTACTTCTTTGAAAATGCCTTTATTTTGCCTTCATGTTGATGGACTTATATACTAAATATAGAATTTTATTTAAACCGTTGGTTTTAGCCCTTGGGAGACGTTGTCACTCCCTATCTGCTGGCCACAATATTTTGGTAAGTGAGCTCCTATGTATCATTGACGTCTTGTCATTGCACTGCTACATTTATTTTCTGGATATTTTCGAAATTTAGGTTCTAGACGTGTGACTTTTAAGTTTGTAGGTGTGTTTTTCATTGTGTTTGTCCTGCTTGATATCAAATGAGCTTCTTGTACCTACACATTAATATTTTCCATCAATTTTAGGAAACCTGGGCCATTACAATTGTACTTTTGTTCTTGCTTACTTCTATCTTCTCTATATATACAACTTTATTAGTAGGCTTCATATTATCTCATTATTGAGATAATGTTGGCTTTTGATATTTTCCCCAGTGCTTTTTATACTAGTTAATTTTATAGCTCTGCCTTCAAATTTAATTATGGTTCTTTCTGCTATTTTGCAATTATCTAGCTACCTGCTATTAAAACTCAAACAATACATTTTTTTTCAGGTATTATAAATCCCAGTTGGGCTGGGGATTTAGTTCAGTGGCAAAGCCCTTGCCTGGCAAGCAAAAGGTAGTGAGTTCAATTCCTGGTACTGGAAGAAAAGCAAACAAACAAAAAAAAAAACAAAAAAATAAATCCCAGTTGAAGAATGTCTATTTTTTTTACTAAAAAAAGTTTCCATTTCCATACTGAGATTCTCTACTTTTCATTCATTTGGCCATAGAAACAATATCCTACTTTTTGCTAAGTCCTTAATCTATTTTTAATGATTAATTGAATGTCTTTATATGCTAATTGTAATATGGGTCATTTTAAGTGTTGTATGTTTCTCTTGACTGGAATTGTTTTCTAAGAGGTGTTTTATTTTCTTATACTTTACATATCTTGTGATTTTTTTTTACCATGCACCAGAAATTTTATACAATATATTGATAACATTCAGATTTGTTGCGTTCTTCTGAGGAACAATGATTTTTGCTAGATTTGTAGTTTTCAGGTTGCGTCATTGCAATTTTATCCTTACAGTTGGAACAAATTATCAACTTAAGAATAGAAAAAGGATTTAGTCCACCCAGAATTTTTAACTAAAGTCTCCGGCTGTTAGGAAGATCCTGGTACTTGGCGAGATTCAAATTATAACCTCGGTGGGATTCAAACCCTAAAATGAGCGGCAGCAGAAATCCTAGCTCAGTGTTCTCAGTCCTTCTCTCTAGTTTTACATTCTTCCGGGGTTCTTGATATTTGCTGCATCTTCTCACACTGACCAAAAACAAATAATTAAGGAAAGTTTACATTCAGATAGGGAATCCTACCTTTCTACTGTGATGTTGTTTGAGATGTTTCCTTTTTTTTCAGCTGCTTTGATAGCCCCAATTTTCATATGAAAGCCCATACTAGTAAGATCCCTGCCTACTGCTATTTCTAAATACTCTGCACTTTTGGCATTAATGAGGTTCCTGAGAAGTGGTACTTGGCATGCAGAAATCAAGAAAACTCCAGGAAAATAAGAGACTAGCTGAAAGTATCTTGAGAGGGAAAAGCCACATAATCTTAGCTCTCATCCAGTTCTATTTTTATTCAATCTCAACTTTCCATATTTTACAGCTACTTTTTGGGTTTTCTAGTAATTCACATACTTGATGTATCTAATTTTTACCAAAATTATAGCTATTATCTACAAAGTGGTTATCAATTTTGGCATTAGAAGAATTTGAACCTAAGCAATTAAAAGTAAAATATGAGGCTGGGGATTTAGCTCAGCAGCACAGCACTTGCCTGGCAAGGGCAAGGTCGTGAGTTTGATTCCCGGTACCAGAAAAAAAAAAATAGTGAAATATATTCAAATTCTCAAATTATGAGAAATTTCATACATCATTCAACTTTTATACTTATACTTTGCTTCTGAACTGAGGGATCAAATAGTAATATTACATAGTAATAATATAATAAAACTTGAAGTTAAAACTAAAATTAAAACTATATTTTAAAAGGATTGACTTGCAAAACTGCTCTCTAATACATTGAGAATGGTTTTTGAGAAGAGGATGTATGGGTGGTAGTTATCTTCTTTCTATTTTCCAATAGTTTTCAAATGTTACTATAATTTTATTTTATTTTGTGTTCATGTAATCATAAACACATATATAGACATATACACAATTTTTAATGAACTTATAAGTATCATGCTTATCAAAGAATTGTTATTTACATATGCTTTAAACATCTTGCTCAAAGTGGATAAGAATACATGTAACTAACAGCTGATTATAAAGTACTACAGGAAGTCTCTTACAAATACTGGGAAATTTAGCATGCAAAATTTTAGAAAACAAAATTTTAAAACTTATTTTAGAGACCATTCACCTACTCTAACCCTAACCCTAACCCTAACCCTAACCCTAACCCCTAACCCCTAACCCCTAAGAAAGATCCACAGAGATATCCTGGTACCTAAGAATTATGAAGATTATAGTTAAAATTATGCACAGATATGATCAAGAGCTAAATTTCCACTATGAGTTTCCTTAATACACTGGAAGATATCCTACTTTTGAAATAGATTCATCACCCCCTTTTCTTTCCTTTATCTTATTTGCTTGATTTTTGTAGGTATCTAATTATATGGAGGCATATAAGTCTCAGCCTACAAAAATAATTAGATTTTGTTGCTAAAAACAAATATAGTTATAAACAACATAGGCCAATTCAAATTGGACTATATTGAGGGGCAACATTCCTCTCGTTGCAGCACAAAGCAGGAGAATTTCAAAGGAAAGGATTTACATATGCTCTGCCTTTTCAGCCACAATACAAAGAAATCAACTGACTGCATGTGAATGATGTCTTTAATTGAACTTTGTTCAGATTCCATAAAGATAACTTTGTTTAAGACAGAGTTCTAAATCCCCACAGGTTTCCAGGTGTGTCTGTCAGGCCTCTTCTGCCTCACTGTCAGAATGTGCCTCCTCAGCCTGAGTCACTGGAAGCAGCCGCCAGTAATTCTCTACACTTTCCTGGGTATATTTTATATAGTTTGCAATGGAGGCCCCACCTGATTATCTTGTGCCCTCTTCCTGACTCATGGACTTGTGAGTCTAATGCCATTCCTCTTTCAGCAAAGGTAAGGGTTTAGAGATGACTTCTTGGCATTTTCTGGTAAGGAATCTGCTTTTCTCTCTTCACCTGTCTCTCCTCATGAGCAGCTTGGTGGTGGTGTGTTGAGTCACTGTTGACTCATAAAACCCGCCTCTACTCTCTCCAAGAGTGAATTTCATTTCTTCTGTGGCACATGAAATAGGTTGACATAAAGGGGTTTCTGCTTTGTATCAGTATCCATGGCAACATTCTAGCCAAGAAGGAAGCATGCAAACAACACCCACCTACCCCAGGGATGTTCAGGATTGTTACCAAAGACCAATAAAAGTCAGTCCTCTCACAAGAATCAGAAATCCCTCTGTGCTGTTAAATGTCCTCTTGATCAGCTTTTTGCCCTCTCTTCACTCAAAAAGCAACTCCTGTTTTGTGATCTGTATTATTTACTGAAGCAGACTCCCCATGCCATAGGTGCTTCAAACTTCAAGAAGTTTGTATCTTTACAGTTTTACTGAGGGTAGAGCACAGAGAAGGGCAGTATAGAATCCTGCTGATCGTAGAATTTTCCAGTGCCTTTTGATTTTATCAATGTTTTTCTCCCTTCATTCAAACTAAACTCACCGGACACCTCTTCCCACAGGATGGCTTACAGAGAGACAACCACTCCTCCCCCACTGCTTTCTCCCCGCCCCCAACAGTGCGATCATGATTTCCAAAACTGCAAGATTTTAGCAGAAGTATTCTGGGCAGGTCTGACAAGATAAACCTTCTGGCATTGGTGATTCAGTTTCTGGGCTTGCTAAAATGTCTGTTTTTCCCCACAAGCACCAGTCCTTAGGTGTTTGTATGCGCAGGGAAGGGTTAAAAATCGCAGGCAAGATACCACGCATGTGTTAATTCCTGCTGCAGCAGCGCGCATCACTTCCACTTTGACCTCATAGTTAATCTGCTGCCTGATAGTTAATCACGCAGAGCCTTTAGTGCTTTTTTCCCCTTTTAAAATACACACACACGCACACACACACATACATACACACACACAGAGTCCTAAAAGAAAAACAAAAAAAGAGAAAACACAGCCAATAAATTAACCTAAAACGATGGACCTGGGGGAGTTCGCGTGAGTGTGAGCATCGTGATTGTGCGCGCCTTTCTTTCTCTCCCTTTCTTATTTGTCTCCGTGTGAATCTTTCCAGTACCCTCCCCCTGGCTCAGTTATATTATTCCCCAGCACTTGGAAGCCGGCTACAGGAGCTGACGCTTTCATGTTATCTGCAAGCGTTTGTGCTGATCTTATTTCTACCCCCTGAATATTAATTCCTGACGCTGGCAGTGATAACCTCCCCAGTGACGGTCCCTACTAGAGGCAGGTGGGGGGAGCCACCATCAAATCATAAGCATAATAATAATACAAAGGGGAGGGTTTTTTCTGCAACCAGGAGACAAGAAGCAAGAGGGGGGGGAAAGCGATGAGTTCGCCAAATATATTGAGCATAGGAAGCTCCGTCTACTGGACTCCTGTATTTTCACAGAAAATGACGGTGTGGATTCTGCTTCTGCTATCTCTCTACCCAGGGTAAGATGTGCCATTTTCACCGTCGTTTTGTTCTGAAGAGGTGGGGGAAGGGGGAGAGATGTGGAACAGTAGAGACCACCCAGATTTAAAACCCTCTTCTAGGATTTTTGTTTGTAATGTAGGGAAGAGTGAATACATGGGGCGGGCGGGAGTGGGTGATATGAAGAAGGATGATCACGTTTGTTTACTTATTAATGTATTGGATTTTTTTATTTGTTTTGCTTTGGAGTGGTAAAGCAAACCTCTTGGAAGACTTTGCGTTAGGCAGTAACGTTTTCAAATTGCTGCAATTTCATGTGGAGTTGGGTTATGCTGATACACGCCTGCATTTGAGGCCATGCTGGAGGCTTTTCGGTGGGGGTCTGGGGGAGATCATTTCAAATGGGGTCTTGGCGCTCACCGGAGAGATGCGTGTGAGGGAGATTGGGGGCGGGGGCAGCTGTGTCTCTGTATAATAAAGTATCCCTTGCTCCTGCATCTGGGCATTTGCTCAGCCAGGTTTTCTAGCCAGCCTCTTGGACCCAGCAATACGATAGCCTGACATGGTTCAGCACCAAGGACAGCAGACCTGCGTAGGGCCAAAGGGAAAGAGGCTTGTCAGGTTGACTAGACCTCAAAATCTACACAGGACACGCATACACCCCGATTGAAGGCCCAGGGAGACAAGCAGACCCTACACTGATTATTGCTGCTCCCTCTCTGGGTCGGAAAGGGTCTGTTGGGCTTGGGCTGGGGAATATATGTGTGAAAAGACTTGGCCTTGCTAGTGTTGAAAATCATGCTAAACCCAGTGAATTTAATACCAGAATTCTCTAGTATACATTAATGCTTATGATCTTGCTGCACTAAGTATGAAAGTGGTGTGGGGGAGGCCTTCGTAAACTCCTAAGCATGTGTGTACTCTGAAACGTTCTATAGGTAAAGGTTCTTTAATTTCCTTGAAGAATACCAGAGGAGAATCCCTCCCCACAGTATGGCACAATATTCATTTACCCATGTAAACAGCACACACTTCATCATAATTTCCAACTAGGCTAGAGGATATCATTGAGAACATCTAGTCCACATATCTGGGCCCTCCCGCTCTAGGCTGGGTGATGGGACACGTGGATTTCTGATAGAGAGGTTAAGGCAATATAAGGAGTACAATCCTCACTTTGTACTTTCAAAGCAAAGGCAGAGCCTTCTTAATTCTTCCAGCACTTTTCACATCTTACTCCTTTACCAGAAAAATAAAATACACTCTCATTAAAAGTATCAGATTTAGAAGTTTTCTCAGGGGGAGTGGGCCTTTTTCTAGAAGGGATTTTATATGTAACATATTTTAGTGGAATCCTAGAAATATAATTTTCCTCTTCAAAAAAACACAAACTTGTTTAAATTTAATGTGTCTAGTTTTTTTATGTGTCTAGTTTTTAATCTTTATCTGTTTCAGAGATTAGAGAATTTATTTTTGCTTGCTAATTTATTATTGTTTTATTTCCACGATTTATGAAACCTGTGGCTTAAAGCTGGAGAAGATATGGAGGAAGATATCTTTTACAAGCCTCTTAGTAAACAATTTTATGACTAATTTGATGGGCATATTCTTATGTATTTTATCTCTAACAGTACCATTTTAGCCAAAAACGTTTACTTTTTTATGTTCATAACATTGTAGTATTTAAGGTGCCTCCTTATTATAACAGCCTCATCATTTTATTCCTATAGGATATAAAAATTAAAATGTGAAAATATATTTTACTTCTCAATTTGTACAAGAATAGCTTAGTTGGGCATTCAAAATACTTTTAAGAAGAGGAAATCAAGCCTCACGAGAACTCTCCAATAAGTTTTGTTTTTTTTTTTTTTTTGTTTGTTTGTTTGTTTTTTTTTTTTTTTTTGCATTTGCTTAGTAGCATGAGAGAATGGAATCACTGAGGATTGGTGCAGGAACACGATCAGAGGTTTCGTGTGCTGCGATCTCATAAAAAAGTCATTTGAATGGTTGAACAGGGCTAGAAGGAAATAGAATCTTTGATTTATAAAGTGAATTCTGAGAAAGAGCAACATGTCAGTGGAAAAAATTGGGGACCCTAAAAACCTTCTGTGGTAACTAAATAGTAATAAGATCACATAGAGAGTTGAAGAAATTTTCTTTTAAATTGACTTTAAATTTAAAAGATTCAAAAACAAACTTTTTCCCCTCAGTAAATGATTAAATTCACTAGGCTGTTTCTCTATAAATGTACAACAAGGAGGAAAATAAAGCACTAGGTTAAGCATATTAACAACTAATATTTCTTTTTTGAAGTGCCACAATAAATTTCAGAAACTCAAAATTTTCTTAACTGTCACCACCTTGTCTGTGATGCTATCATAAGAAGCACCTGAGAACTTACTGAGGTGGCACAATTTCTAAAGCATACACTATATCACTCTAAATCTTTATGGGTGGAGGGACAAACAGGAATATTGACTTTTAACAAGTCCAGTAGCTCTCACTCTGAAGAAATAGCTCTCTACTTTCCTGATTTCCAAAAGTTTGTCCATCATGCTAATATTTGCAAACACTTTGGTTTCTGCTAATTTATCATTCAGTTGGACACAATGAATCAGTTTTATATCCAGAAACTTTTTAATTACATGTAAATCATTGAGTGTAACATTGACCCAACAAGGATAAAGAATAGTGTAAAGAATCTTAACAAACTCATACCACATATAAGGTGTTATTGGCTGAATCAACCAAACGTACTTAAAAGAAGGTGATGTCAGTGTATTGAAAAACTCTATATATTCCACATATATATATATATATATATATATATATATATATATAGTGAAACAAACTTGGAATATACATATTTCAGTTTAACGTCTTTCTATCTCAGTAAAACTATACTAATTGGAAGAAAAATTAAATAAAGAAGAACATTATTTATAGTAAGTAGGAATAAGTCCAAGAAAGACTTTTTTTTAAAAAAATAAAGAAAACATCTTATAATATAGAATGTTCTAAGGTCAGATTGAGCAGAAATGTATTGAGGTTTAGGTAATCAGCTTCTTTCTTTAAGAAATGTGGATTAAAGATTCATAAATATTTTTTGTTTTTAGTTGTTGCTGAATAGGAATGTTTCAGATGAGTTTTTAAGAGCTGTTAAAGATTAATTTTATCCCATAATTACATTTCATACAGACTTTAACTTTTATAGACTATCACCATGCCTCTACAATAAATATTGTAATTTATTTCAGTATACCATATTAGGACAACCTTGTTACTCCATACATTTACAAATGCTTCACATAGTTATTTCTAGGAAAAGAAAAAACTTCCTTAGCATATTTAATTGCTTTAGTTTTAGACATAGTATTTCAGGTAGTCTGTTTAGGAGTACATTATGAGCCAGAATTTCCCACAATTCAATTACTCATCAGTATCTAGGCAAAACACTTATAATAAGAAGGAGATGAAAAATTGGCTTTTAATTTAAAACATTAGCTACATCAATATTTCTCTTATATTTTAGGATCATTTTAGAATAGGCCATCTCCTCAAAATGATTAAATTATGGAATATTGAATATAATGACAGAAGTCTGTCATATACATTTTAAAATTTGGTTTATCTTACCCAAATTGGAAAGAAATTAAGGACTAATTTCAATGACTTTATCACTCTTGTAAATTTTATGTTAGTAGGGTCATGTAAGTATTTGTTACAATTTCCTAGCCTGTACTAGTCAGACCTTTCAATGCTTAGTGTAAATGTTGTATAAATAAAGTACTCAAGCCCCTATATAGAGAGCCCTTCCCACTCCTGTCTCAGCCCTGGAAGTTTATATTTGTAATGCCATGAAAAGTTACTGGAATTCTAGAGAGTTAATTCCAATCTACCACTTCCAGTGCAACCCATGGTGAGAATAAAGATATTAAGCCATATTTGTAGTTATGGGGAGCCAAAGGGTTCTAAATCCAGCCAGAATGATGACAGTCCAGAACAAAGTCCGACACCCAAGGCTGAACCTGGATTTTATTCATTCATGAAGAAAGGACTGGCTTGAGGATGAGTGACTGTGAGAATCATGGGAAGTAGGTGAGTGCCCTCAGCTGGGCTAGATAGGAAGCCTGAAATCACCTCTGCAAATGCAGAGAGAAAGATATGCAGAAAGAGTAATCCGCATAACACAATTGAGATAGAATCTAATGTGTTGGGATCAGTGGTTCAGCTCTTAAGTGTAATCTTTCAAGTCCCAGGAAGTTATATCCTCTATCTGGAGGCTGAATCCCAGCAGACAGCATGGAGCATTGGCTCAACACACTGCCTCATCTGAGCTCACACTTGGGAACAACTCGGTGGTCAGTGTCTTGGCTAGACCAATATGCATGGCGTAAAGCCAACTGAGGGATAAGGAAAGGGTCTAGATCTGTACATATAAATACATAGAAATAGGGTCAAGCTCACCAAAGTGGAGACAATTGCTCCTCCTTCAAGGAGCGTCACCAAGGTGGTCATCCATACACCTACATATAAAAAAGAGTACTAGTGAGTTAACTGATTAAAGAAGAGAACAGAATTAGTGACAAATCCAAAATATAACCAGCTTTTATTTTATGTATACATATTTGTATATTTTATTTATCATTATGTATGCATGCCTATATCTATTTACAGACACACTTATTACATTATATAACTTCCAATTATTTGTTGGGTCTAAGTAGGTCATTTAATAACCAATCATAATGTTTTCCTTATTTATCAAGTGTGGTTGACAATAACTAACGTGCAGTTGTAATGAAGATAGTACACACATATTTAATGTATATAGAGTTCAGTGTATGCATATATGAGAAAGGTAGATTTGAAAATGTAGTTATATTTTTCCTGACTTTGAAGATGTCATATAGATCTGTTATGATGCCCTTTGTTTTCTTGGAGTTGGAGATCTAATTCAGAGCTTTGGGCATACTAAGGAGATGTTCTACCATTTAGCACAAGCCCAGCCAGATGTGTT